TCTCTTTCTCTTTTTCTCTCATTCAGTGACTGCTGGGTGAACTTTCATCACTGAAAACTATCCCAGGAAAACTAAGAATAGATTAAGGAGTGCTTTTACCAAATTATACCATGCATACCTACTAATCGCTACCTATTGAAAAGTCAAACAGTTGCTGTGAGTGCTTTGTAGACAACTGACCACATCCTACAACACTATATGCCACTGTCCACCACTGACACCATTACATTACTACCAAGATACTTTTTTCTATCACTATGGACATGTTGGCTGAAATCCTGTTGCTTAGCAAACTGACAGCATTACATTACTACCAATATACTTTTTTCTATCACAATGAACATGTTGGCTGAAATCCTGTTGCTTAGCAAGTACAGTAGGCTTATTGAATCAAAGAAATTTATGGATGAGATGACTCATCAAATTCCCAGTTTCAGCAGAGCTACTGTAGTTGTGACTCCCTATGTTAAGCAACAGGATTTCAACCATAATTACACACTCTTAAAAATCCACACAATTCATCCTTTTGTTGAAAGGCAAATAAAATGAGCATTGCCTCTCCATTGGAATAAAAAGGCGAGATTATTGAATCAAAGAAATTTATAGATGAGATGACTCATCAAATTCCCAGTTTCAGCAGAGCTACTGTAGTTGTGACTCCCTATGTTAAGCAACAGGATTTCAACCATAATTACACACTCTTAAAAATCCACACAATTCATCCTTTTGTTGAAAGGCAAATAAAATGAGCATTGCCTCTCCATTGGAATAAAAAGGCGAGACACAAGAGATGGGGTGAACTAGGGCCACACTTTATTTAAAGCATCTTATATAACTCCCCCCCCCCATAAAATCAGGGTAGTGCAGGAACAGGTCTGAAGCCGGAGGTCTCACGGGACTCTCTCCCCAACCCTATATGGGCAAGTTCCATGCCCTGTTGCCATGCAGACCTAAATCCTGCATGACCCCGGCCGCTGAAATATCAAGCCCCCACTGGCCCTGTAAGCCCCACTCTTTGGCAGACCTCAGCCCAGTGGGGACCCCAGCCTGTCCATCCTGTAACCTCATGATCTGCAGTGCCTTTAGGTCAGACATGATATGACTTTGATTGTATTCCCTGGGGCCTCACTGATCGTAGTTCTTTCTGCATTACCCGCTGTGTGACGTAAACAAATAACTCACAGCTAACATCACATAACCTTTAATAACCCTATGCTAGTGTGAGATAGGTGAAAAATCCCCACAACCACCTTGCCAATCTTAGTAGCGGGTCAAAAATTCCTATCCAGCCCCCAACAGGATGACCAGTCAGACTCACACTGGTTTAAAGGGAAGTTGGGTGGGATGAAAGCCTCAGAAAGAGGCTGAGCACATGGTGGAACATTTTTATGAGGATGCTCTCCCCTGGCATCGGGAACACAGAGCAAGCTCTCATCTTGCGCTATTCCCAGGAGGGAAGGCAATGGAGCCCCACTCGGCCACAAGAGCTGTCAGAGCCAACATTATGTTGAAATAATATAAAGGGAAAATGTACTGTACATTAAACTAATTGTTTTTAATTAATTAGGATAATGCAATTATATTTAACCCAGGTAAAAAGGCACTAACATGGTGTCTTAAAGCAATTAGATCCCATTTTGCTTAAAATTTACCCACATGGGTTGTAAGCAGCAGTGAAGGCATGGAGTAGGTCTGAATCATGGCTTGCAGAATGGAAGCTATTCATGGCTGCAGCAGTAAGCAAGGAATGAGGAATCTTTTGCTTAAAATTCCCTGATTGCAGTGTGAAACCGACTGATGCAGGTGATTAGTGAGAAACCAAATCAGGCATGCACACAGTTTAGGAATATGTGTGTATGTTTGTACCCAGATTAGAGCCATCCTTACAGAGGTGTGATAGTGGGGAAGGGGAAAAGGAGGAAACAGAGGGGAGTTGAGTGTCATTTGAGGGGGGAGAAGAGTTATTGCACTGGATCTGTATCATTCTACTGGAATCATCATTCTTTTTTTTTAAATTATTTTTTTAAAAAAGCACTACAAAGTAAACAAAATAAAAAACACTGAACTAGCAACTACACACACAAAAAATTGAAAAACCACTAAACTAAAACAAACCCTCCCCCATTTTAGGACAGAGATTCCAACATCGTTTGGATCTCGGATTTCTCCAGTTGGTTTCCGGTGAGCACTGAGTACATAAAATACAAAGTTTTGTGCTAAACTCCAGTCTTTTTCCGGGCCTAAACATATATTAATTTACAGCGTTTTTTTACATAGTCTCTTGGTTTTTCCCGTAGCGCTTCTGAAAGTGTATCTAGCTCTGCAATATCCAATACCATATTTGGCGGCGTATAAGACGATTGGGCATATAAGACGACCCCCCAACATTTCCACTCAAAATATAGTTTGTTATATACTCGCTGTATAAGACTACCCCCTCTTCTGCACACCTTCCATACACCAAATAAAAGGTGCTATTCATTGTCACCATTGTACGGCCTCAGCACGACCACAGCGCCTCTGGCCTGCCCCTGCATCTCCCTGTGACTGGCATTAGTGCGCAAGTGCGCATGTGTGAGCTCTGCATAGACAAGGGGCGGGCCGGAGTGCTGCTGTTTCCCGCCAAGCAGAACAGGCTGGTCACATTGAAAAGGCTGGCACCCCTGTCTCGCTGCTGATGCTTGCCGCAGCCACGCTGCGGAATACTGGATGGTATGTAGAATGAGGTGAGCAGGCATCGGGAGGCTACTATGGGCACCGGGCGAGCATCGGAAGGCCACTATGGGCAGCTATGTCTATCCCAACTGAAGTGCACCCGACGTATAAGACCCCCACCCCCACTTGGAGACATGTTTTTCAGGGCAAAAAAGTAGTCATACTCCAGCAAATACATTAACTTCTTTAGAAGCTCCTCTATCGTTGGTATTTCTTCACTTTTCCATTTTTGGGCCCAGAGTAGCCTAGCTGCTGTGAGTATATACATTAGACAGTATTTTATTTTCTTATCAATGATTTCCAGCATGATATTCAGTAAAGCTATTTCAGTGGAATCTTCATTCTTTATTGACCATTTTCCTCATATCCAGACAAACAGGACACGGAATTTGAAAGGTGAGTGGGAAATGTAAATCTTACTGGGTGGAAGGGATGAGACAAAGGAAAAGAGATGCAGATCAGACAATGTGAATTGGGCAGGTTGCTAGATTCATGCTTTGGAGCAATATTCTTCAACCTGGCGCTTCCCAGAGAATTGACCTACACATTCTCCCATCTCCAGAAATTCACTGAATGGTGGGATTTGTAATCCATCACATCTAAAACTGATACAGTTGGAGAAATCAACTTAGGCTGTGACTACATAGCAGGAAAAATATGACCTGCTGTGATCTTCAATTTGTCATATTGGGTTTCTATGGATGAAATCTCTGCAGTTTTCCAAGACAATGAATAATTTCCAGGAGTCAGCAGAAACAATTGGAAGCTGTGCTTCCATGGATCTCCAACAGAAGAAGCTGACTTTGACTAGGTGCTAAATGACAACAAAGCAATATTCTGGTTCAGCACTGAATTGAAAGTTTGTCTGGTTTGTTTGTTTCTTTAAGAAAGTGCTTAAAAACAAGTGGCACTTTCTGGTGGGAATTGTGAGTGCCCCTTTGTCTATGGATCAGGAGATGGCATACAGTAGATACCAGAGACAAACAATGCCAGTCAAATGGAGTAAATTTGAATTACCTTGCCAGCAGAAGGAAAAAAGATGGTTCCCCACTCAAAAGAGACAATTGCATAACAGGCTTCCCCCACATTCAGCTTTATATAATTAAGTCAGTGTTTATTATTTATTTATTTATTTTATTTATATCCCGCCTATCTGGTCGGTTAAGATTCAAATTCATTTGCACCCAATATGATGCAAATTGCAGGGTAAATGGCCAATATAGCTGCCTTCTTAATGGACAAAAAGAGTCATTTAAAAAGAATAAACAACAAAATGGGCAAACAAATTAAACTACTATGTCATATGTCATGTTCTCCTAGGCTTTCTTTTAAAACTGAGCAATGACCTAATGTTTAATCTAGATATTTAACTAATGAATAAAAATATCATTCACTAGTGTCAGTGTACATTTCATTGGGGCTTTGGATCACCTAACTCAAATTTTAACTAACTGGGTGTTTTTTGCTAAAATGCCAGGCTCTGGACATGGATAACAATGTATCATTCTAACACGTCTGGCAGCTTAAATTCATTTAGTTTCACTATTTGTGCCATAGGTTTCATGTAATCTTGCTTTCAGGTAAGTATGTTTAGACTGAGATGCAAGTCAGCTTGAACTAAAAACTGATGGCTAGCATGTCGTGGGAAACTACAACAACATGACATGAAAGATTTATACACAGAATGGGCACAAGAAATGTTTAATAAAATCATCCCCTCAGGCAAAAAAAAACAAAAAAAGGAATGAAAAAACCAAACAGAACAAAGTGTATGGAGGTGGTGAGTGTTGAGCCAGCAGAACCACTCCCTTATTCCATGTAACTATTTTACTGCCTGTGAACCAGTCATTTGTTTTCTTGACTAATCTTTAAATGGAGGGTATGGCCCTTTCACTTGGAAAATATTCATATGGAAGATGAATCACTTCTGGGACTTGGTAATAAGTTCTTTTTCCTCCCTCATAATGGGGATACAATGAGGAAGAAAACCAGTTTGTGTTTTACTCACTAGAGCCATCTTGCTGCATTGAATTCTGAACTCAGCCTAAACATCAGAGGAGCATTATGATGTTTTACACAAAAGAGTCTGTGTCTTAGTAGGAACACCCAAAATAGCAAGCAGTAAGCAGTCACATACTGTGAGTTTTCAAACCCCAAAGCATAAGTGCCTTTTACTGACAGGAAATTGTTGCTTGCAAAAGCTTTCGGAAAGCCGTGAAGTCAAAAGAATTTCTCCTTCCTTTCATCAGAGGTGTAAGCCATTTTTTAATATTATTCATTTTTTTTAAAGCTAACAGGGCCTGGTGCCACGCAGGTAAGTTTTCAATACTTTTTCATTTAAAGGAAAGTCAGGTCCATACTGATTTTAATAAAAGAACTAAATAACAGCACTGAAACTAGCCTAGTTTTGAACTGGAAATCTTGAAAGACGAACACACTGGTTCCAGTCATATTTACTTGGAAATTGCATCTATTGATTTAGACAGAGACTTTACATTTTAAGAGAGGTGTTTGGAGTGAGAAAGAAATCTGTTATTATTCTTGTTTTCTCTGTAGTACTTTCAGAGCACAAAGAAGGCATAATTCTGTTATTTGTGTCTCTTCTAAACAACCTGACAAGTAGGTTAGACTGCCTCTGGTGGAAGCCCATAATAACAATTTTTTTCTTAAAATGTATTGATATGTAGAACTATACTTGCCCATTTTTGGGGGGTCCTTCGGGCATTTTGGATCACAGAGGTTTTTCAGGTTTTAGAAGCCCTATACAATTCTGCAATTCTTCTTTGACCAGAGAAAGTAATAGGATATAAAATAATACTGACAAGCAACTCTGAATCACTTTTGTCTGAACATGAACTAATAATCCAGCTCCACTGCATTTCTTTGGCTGAATAGGAAACATTGGTGGTTCTTTTATCAGTAATTATTCCAATATAAATAGGTTGTGCTGTTCAGATATGCTCAAATCGTTGTTCAATTTTAGTATAAATGTTGAATACACTTACTTACCTTAGGCTGCAGCCCTAAGCAAACTGGCTCAGAAATCAGCTTCACTGAAATTAGTGGGGCTTAATTCTGAATTAAAACTAATACACTGACTGAACAGCTGTTCTGTCTCTCATAAGAGATTAATTTATTTTTGTCAAAGATTTTGTTATGTTACCTATTAATCTCTGTTTACTTGAAGGTATCACCATTTGGAAGAAAATGTATGAGGGAAGAGTTGCTCTGTGTGTGTGTGTGTGTGTGTGTGTGTGTGTGTGTGTGTGTGTGTGTGTGTGTGTGTGTGTGTGTGTGTGTGTGTGTGTGTGTGTGTGTGTGTGTGTGTGTGTGTGTGTGTTTGTGTGTGTTTGTGTGTGTGGGGTGTGTGTGTGTGTGTCTTCTATTCAGAGGATCTACATTTTTTTTTTGTGGTTGTTGTGGAGAAGGAATTAATGCTTTCCTACTGTGTGTGATGCCTCATTTTGTAACTGAACACCTTATTAAGGCAATACTCTGCTTCAGCAATTTGTATTTCACCTTTTCATTTTGGTTTGTATTGGTTTCATGCCAGCTGACGAAATAGCCCTCAAAATCTGATGATTTTTAAATTGTATTGTAGAACTGAAATGGCCTCAAAAGCATCCCTTTGATGCTGTAAGGACAGCATGCCATGAAAATATTCAAACCATTGAGAAAGAAGGGGTGCAGGAAGGGTTTTGACTTATTTTATAATCAAAATGATGATGTTTTAACTGTGTGGAGAATGAACTAAAACAGCAAAAGAGTCTGTTGGTGTATCTATATATGGGAAGGCCAGGGAAAAACCTGGAAAATTTGGAAAAAAAACAACAGTTTTTTTTCCTATTTTTTTCCAAAGTCATTTTATATGGCTTCAAAATTTCTGAAAATTCAATATTTCTAGGTGTAGCTGATTGAAACATATAAAGTAAAGTAAAATTGGATCCTGCTCGAATATGCATATATTCTATGACATATATCACTTAATGAAATCAGATCTGATCCCATTCAGCAGTTTTTAATACTTAATCTAGACTACAATTCTGTGCTCACATCCGTGGTAACAAGACTGGTTAAAATCAAAGGGACTTAATGGGCAGAATACTGTTAGCATAGGTTATGCTGTGGATCTCCAGTGACATCATCAACTGTGGCCATGCTGTGGTTATTTCAGGAAATTAAAAGCTTCCCATGCACCCAGCAGACTCCCAGGATCTATAGGGATCCCCTTTGTCCTGGTTGAGGCTTCAGGAGCCAGAGAAAGTGGGGAGGGGAATGATTTAAATGGAGTCTTATGCTTCAAACCAAATCTAATCCTACCATTCCAAAAGATTGTATTTGGCTCTCTCTACGCATGAACAAATCGTTTTGTTTGGAAATTTGAAAGATGAAAGGCCTTTATTTTATCTCTTTGACACTGTGAGATTATTTCAGCTACAATATATTTTTCAGGGAGGCTGAAAATGGAATTCTGTTTCCCAACCTGTCTGAAGCAGAAGAAATTGTCATAGCTCCATCAAATAAAATGGACTTTTACTTTGAGGAAGATCAAAACACTAGCTGTTAAAAAAATTCAACATTTTCTTTTTGTCATTAAATGCATTTTTTTTCTGTTTGAAAACTCTTGTTTATTTTAAGGCAAGGCAAACACATTAGTCTGTTTTGGAGAGGTCCAATTTACACATTTGGATAGTAGAAATAACAAATACAATACCTGGTTTCAGTTTAGAAAAGCAGATCTACAGCTACGTTTCATGTTTCTTTGTTTGATCAATAATTCTGAAAGAAAGAACAGGAAAAGAACTGCCAATACCTAACTGTGCGATGCAATTTATTAAAAGGTAGTGCGCATACATATGAATGTAGATTCTTTTCTCATCTCTTGATTATTTAGCAGAATGTGTGCTGCTTATAGACCACTCTATAGCACTTATAACACTCTCTGGGTGGTTTAAAAATTAATTATGCAGGCTACACATTTCCCCTCCCCCCCCCGCCCCCAGTGAGCTGGGTACTCATTTTATGGACCTCAGAAGGATAGAACACTGACTCAACCTTGAGCTGGCTATCTAAGCCCATCGGGATCAAACTCATGTTCATGACTAGAGTCTTCACTGCAGTACTACAGTTTAAACACTGTGCCACGAGGCTCCTCATTTAAGACACTTACACATCATACCAGTGTTAAACTTGATTAGTACAGAAAAGCTGATGATTTGACCAAATAGTCCTGTACAGACTAGAGCCTGAAAGCAACTAGTTACAAATAGCAAGTTACTTTATTTATTTATTTGTTTGTTTGTTTGTTTGTTTGTTTGTTTGTTTGTTTATTGTATTTATACCCCGCCTATCTAGTCATTTTGACCACTCTAGGCGGCTGATAGTCAATGACATAACTAGTAACTAACAATTTCTTAGATATAACAGGTAACATCTATGTGATTCATGTATATTGCATAGCATCCAGTTGCTTCAAAAGTTACTGTTAAAGAGCATTTTAAGATGTTGTGACAGTTTTCAGATTCTATGCTGTTCTTCTATGGTTTTCTCTTTTCATATTTCCACTGTGCAATATCAGAATTGGCAACCTGGAGGCATTTCACTATATTTTTCTGAGTAAAGATAGGATAACATTTTCATAATGCACAAAGCAAGAAATTACTTACATATATGCAACCTGGCAACTCAGAACTAATGAATAAATGCAACATTCTATAAAGCACATAGAATATGTTTCTATATGCTATTACTATTTTGTTATTGTTGTTGTACTGGATTTTGTTAGGATGATCACAGAATGTTACCACAGTTCAGGAGTGAAGAAACATACTGATCTTCTGAATTCCAGTTCCTATCTTCTAATTATATTTTTCACTGCTTAGAAATAATAGGAGTCGTAGTTTGTCAACATCTGGAAGGACACTGATATTCCAGCCTTGCTTTAAGATGTATCTATTTGGTGACTTTGACTTAGCAAAAGAGCGTTCATAATCACCAGAAAATTCTAGTGATTTCCTGCATGAGCAGGTTGGACTTGATTTCCCTTGGAGCCCCTTCCAGGGCTACAGTTTAGGAGATGTGGAAGTTAATTGTCATACCATTGCTTCTTGATACGGAACCACTCTTTACTCTTTTTAAATGATTTTTTTCAAAAATGGATAATAAATTATGGGCATAATACCTCCCCCATCATTTAAGGATGTAATTTAGGATTGGCGGTTCTGAGGTTCTGAGCAGAATGTTCAGGCTGAGAAAGCACTGAGAAGGACCCGGGGGGGGGGGCGGGTGTTTCTTGGTTTCCTCTGGGTGATGCAACGTGTTCCTCCAAAACATAGTTTCTTCAGAGGTGTACCACTTTCAAGAAGCTCACTGCACACCTTCCATTCGTGATGACTGGCATCAGCCATCTTCTAGGCTAAGATGTAGTTGGCTCTGCATGAGGGCTTGTTCTTATACCTCCTTGGGGTACGATTGTGAGGAGGAGAGAAAGGGAGACTGGAAGGTCAAACTAGAGTTTGTCAGATATCTGTAGGAGCATCCTTTGGAATATCAACCACTGGTTGATATACTTTCTCTTGGGATTTCATTACCTCTCTCTGCCTCTGAAGGCATTTCAAAAATATAGTAAGTAGTTTGTGGGGTATATGTTTGAGTGAGAGAGAGTATGGGAGACGGAATGAGTGGTGGGACATGTTTGTGGTGTGGGGAGAGAAACAGAAAGGAAGGGGAAAAGATTGAGTAATGGACAACAGAAAGAATGGCAGATAAAAGAAAATATAGTGTGTGGAGGGGAGATATTGGTGTGCCGTGCACATTTTGGGTCTGGTCCCACTCTCCACCAGCTCACTGATGTGTGCCTCTCAGATATACATCACGAGTAGCAAAAAGGAAACATCCAGGAGACACAGCTCAGAAAAAGATGATGATTGCAATGATGTTGCACTTGGTCTTTCTCAACATTACTGGTGCTTGAATGGGTCAGAGCTAAAATTTAAGAATAAAATCCTAAAAGTCTGTGGGCGAGAGGACATATTTGCAAAACCACTTTTTTTATTTCAGAAAGCAAACTAGCAGCTATTGGCACTTATTTTAAATTGGTAACCAACAATTTTGGAATAGCTACAGATAGAACTTAGAATGTAACATAGGAGGAGGAGGGAGATAACCTGATCTTGCTTCCATTTATCTTTATCTTTATCTTTATCTTTATCTTTATCTTTATCTTTATCTTTATCTATCTATCTATCTATCTATCTATCTATCTATCTATCTATCTATC